AGAAAGGTTTGATGTTCAGAAATTCTGTGTTTTTGCCTCTCTCCAACAGTAATTTGGGTTCTTTTAGACAGTGTTTAGATTTAGCATTAGAAAAATATTTTAAGTATTGAATATAGTTGTGAAGAATAAAAAGTATAGTAGACTAGATATAAGAAATTGCAGTCATTTGGTATGATGCCTATAAGTGTCCTTTATACCTATTTTCTTTCCCCCAGAGTTTGATAAAATTGCAAGTGACGTGAGAGGGAAATGTGGCCTTGAATTATGGGAAGAAATTGCCAGATATATTAAAGACGAGGAGAATAGATCCACAATATTTACCCGTGCTTCAGACCATAGCAATACCACCATTGCAAAAGGCATGAGAATCAAGAACCTGCAGCAAGTTGCATCAGAAAAAGGTAAGTCAGCAAGAGCACTTTGAGGATAGTAAGCTATAGTTGTATATCTACTGAGATCTGAGCCCTCATTTCCATCGAGAAAAACTGTCGGGCTACACTTTCCAATGGCTCTGCTACTATTTATGGGGGTGTAGTCATATATAAACAACTGCACCTTGCTGATGAGTGTGCAGAGCTCGTCAGCCTATTTTGAGACTGGAAAAAAGTGGAAGTTCAAATTTGATGCTGCTGTGTATAGTGCATTATTTAATACAATTCAAAAATAAAATTGGATTCGTCAACTCTAGTACAATTTCCAGGAATGGAACCTTGGAGCAGTGTAGAATCATAAGCATCATTGCTGTTGTGGTCGGCCCTGGGAAGTGTCATGAAAAAGTTTAGTGACACTTTCTAGTGTCGTAAGACTTTTTTTTTCTTCTTTTTTCACCAGAAATGAGGGTTCTGATCATTAACCCCTAGGTGGCTGACAGAGAATTGTGAGGTAACCCTCTCAAGAGGGCAGAATTTCACTCACATGAGTCTTGTATAAAATTACACCCCGGTCCTTCCCTATGAGGATGTATTATTATGCCACCTGCCATTTAAAAATCTTGTAATCATGAAACTCTTCATTCAATGGATTTCTATGAAATACATTACTGTTGGATAATGTTCAAATGGTCTGATTGTCTTTTTTTTTTAGCAGATATTGATTCTTCATCTCAATAGATATCATAACTGAGTAGTAAATCTACAATTTTAGACATTGGCTTTTAAATAATTTATGTAAAAGATATTTATTATAAATTTAGGTGTATCTAATCCTTTCATAAACTTAAATTCTTGAATGTTGTTATATGTTCACAATTTTTAAGATATCCAGCAGTTCTTTGCAGTTGTATTCAATACAAAAACACTTCAGACTTGATGCCCCTGTTTGTAATTTCTCAAATTCAGATGGAGCTTAGGGCTCACTCAGTGGCCAAAACAGATCTGTAATGCCTCCATTTTATTAGTTGCAGTACCAAGAATTTCAAAAGAAACACTCCAGATTAACCAATGCTTTTATTTTAGGATTACCAGAGGCAAGGAAACTGTACCAAAAACTGAACTGGTCTCCTCCGCTCTCTGATAAGCTTCATGCATGTATGGTGGAGCTAGAATTATCAAAAGAGACAGTGGATGTCAAGAAGGTCAGGGGGATTTTTACCACAGCTGTGCAACAGTTTGGGAAAAAACATCCAGGTAAGGTAGCAGAAGTGATTTTCAAATGTGCATCTTTGTTTATATAGAACATCTGTTATAGTTATTATTGATTTTCCTTTATACATAATCTTACTTATATGGAAGAATCTTGAAGAAAACTTTCATTTTTTTAATGTGATTGATTCAGTTTTTTTTCTTTTATCAATTTTCAATTAACTGCTTAAATAACAAAGAAGCTGCATCAGTTACCATCATTAAAAGAGAACCAGCCAGATGTGTGCAAAATCATTAAATATCCAGTTGAAGTGAAGGATTTTTTTTTAATCACATTCATTATTTATTTGCTTTAGTGACCTATCATGTGTACATATTTTAGTTTATTATATTTCACTCCCATCACTGAAAATTAACTCATTCTTGTGACTGCAATCAGGTTTATGGTTAGCCTACATCCAGTTTGAGAAGCGCCATGGAGATCCAGTGCTTGTTGGTGGTCTGGTCACCAAGGCAGAAGACGAACTGGAAGTCAACGAAGCTCAGATTTTCAGGGAGTTGCTTATGGTTGTACGAGAGCTTCAAGGAGAGGTAATTTGATTTGAGTTTTTATGTGTCAAGGTGGTTTTTGTAAATTTCTGAGTTGATACTATTGGTAGATTGGCCGTAAATGGACCAGCATATTACAAAGTGGGCTCTTGTGAACAAGGACAGGGATGATGTGTTAAAAAGACCTTGTGGATTTGGAGGAAATAACTGTTAAATACTCATAGAAATGATTGTGATTGATAGTAGGGATTGATAGACCTGACCAATCTGCATTGATACACCAGCTCTCACATGAAATTAATCTGTTGTATATGAGAACCTGGAAGAAAATTGTATAGTTATGTATATTGGTCTCCATGTTTACAGTGGAGTGAAAAGACTTTTTTTTTCCCCAAAAGGCCCAGGTGGGGAAAAGTTTTGAATTTATTATACAATTATTGTGTTAAAATGATTTTCCTCTAAAATAATATTTAGACTGTGCACACTGAGCTTTAAGTTCTTCCTTTTGATGCTAATTATGACGTGTTTCTTCCAAATGTGCCAGGTACCTGTTGTCAACAATTATTGTGTAAGATAGGATATTTTGATAAATAGTACATTGGCTCATATATGAACTTTATGCCAATGAACTACCACTGCAGCTTCTTCACTATATAGATGGTTCATCAAGTGGACCAAAAGCATTCTTAGGTCCAATAGGTAGAGCTCTACAAAACTGAGAAACTGCCAGTAGTGAAATTTCAAGGAAACGGTATTAATGTAGACCTACCAGATGTTGATATAGAAGTGTTAAGTAGTGAACAGTGATACTAGTATATGTATGAAGCATTCAAGTGTGGTGTTTGTTCAGAGAATCTAGCTTTCTGTCAGCCTAGAACTCTTATTCACTCACAGTGGGTAGCAGCAGCAAATCAGAATCTGAGGTTCTGTGTTGCTACAAATGAACATTCACATGATATGTTGGTTTTAACTGAATACATCATGAGAGTTTATGCACCAATAAGTCTTTGTATCAAGCTCAAGCATGCACAGAAGGGCCCAAACACTTGTGGAGTATGACCCAGTTTCAATATCCACCATCAAGACAGAAGGTAGGGTATCCCCCCTCTTTGTGGTGAGTTCTGGGTGATTTGGATAATGTGAAAAGTACAGAAGTATTATTCAAATGAGCAAAGAGCTGCACATACTGTATGTCTTTGAGGTGAATCTTTATGGTATGGACGGACTAAGGTGGGCAAAAAAAATTGTAGTCATTACTGCAAGAATATTCTGCAGACGCAAATGACAATGCCACAAATGCCCGAAAAAAGCAAAACTGAAGACAGTGTTTCCTGAGGGGTGTTTGGGGATAGAGCCCTCCCCCCTCCAATTAACCCTCCCCTTGGTGGGGTTAATAAATTGTTGAATAAATTTTTGATGTGGGGTTGGGGACTTGGTCTCAGGCAAGTGCGCCTGGAGTATAAAGAATTACCATCTTAGACAGTATTATGGTATGAAGAAACAGTAGCTAACAAATGCCTTTTCACATTCTATTTTTTTTATTACACATTTGGTTGTTAATATATCTTATTTTACACAATAGTTGATGACAACAGATACCATGGTGCATTTGGAAGAAACACGTCTTAATTAGTGATATAGGAAAGAGCTTAAGGCTCAGTGTGCATAGTCTAAATATTATCTAGAGGAAAATCATTTTAACACAAAATTTGTATTATGAAACCACAACTCTTCCCCACCCAGGCCTTAAAAAAAAAAAAAAAAACACTCCACCCTAATGTTTTTTTTTTTAATTTATTTTTTTAGTTTCCATGCTGAGATTAAACAACAAAATGAAACAAAGCAAAGGTTTTGAAAAATAAAAAAAGGATGTAGATTGGTCCCTGGAAAATATTTATAGATTTCTAAGTATTCCATTTGTGTGTCATGTTGATTTCCATGCTTACTTAATTGCTCTTTGGTCTCTGTTTTCTCAAAATTACTTAAATCGTAGGGATAAAATTGAATCTTTTGGGTTATTTGAAATGGCAAAAGTGAATGAGCATCTAACCCATCCTGGCCCCCATTAGGTCGTAAATATTGGTTCCTACTGGGGGAAAAAAGGCTTATTGGAATTTTTGTTTATAGGAGAAAGGCAAGAGCAAGAAAAGAAATACACTGATTGAAGAAAGTAAAATCAGTGAATATGGGGACGACGAAGATGCAGGACCAGGAAGACAGGCTCTGGTGAAGCTCTTCGATGAGGACCTCGTGTTGACCTACACCACCAATCAGAAGAAAGAGGGTTTCTTCTCCCTCGTCCGCAGAATGAGGAGACAAATTGAGCAAGGTACTTCATGGCGTAGGACAGGGTTTGTTACCTTCTTACGGAGTTTGGACTTTGGTACCCCAAAATAGGACAGCAGTGTTCTCAATTAGTGCAGGGGGTGTTGCTGGCCCAGTATTCCAAAGAAGAACTAAATTCATATTGATGAATAGAAGTCTCCCCAGACCTGTAACCCCTCCAAGCTGGTACTCCAGTGTAGGATGGGAGGGCACCCAGGATGCCCAGGACCAGTCTGCCATCATCCAGATTGGTACAATTAGAAAGTGGGAGAAACTTTGGTTTGCTTGTCATTAGGCATGAGGCAAAGGTGAAATTGTTCTTAACTCATTAGAGATTTAGGCTGAAAATCCTGCTCTATGTTAATTGCTTACTTCACTTCAAATAATATTGCCAGTCCCCATTCATTACTTATAAATTTTATCCTTCACATATAAGAAATACTGAGGGCTATTTATTTAGAATGAAATGTTTAATATTTTCTCAGATCTCCATGGTATATATTCTTCTGCCAAATCAGTTTTGAGACACAGACCCTGAAAGTTACATGAATGCAGGAATTGCACCAGAGAGCGAGCAGTGCACTCATGCTCATTGACAGTTGCCATTCAGTCATCCTCTTCCCATCTCCCTGCATGTTACTGCCTGTGTCCTCCCTAGATTTATAAGCAAATGATGTAAAATTTCAAAATAGCGCACTTGACAATAAACCAAAATCCAAGACAAATGGGGTCTAGTTAGGAAGGGTAGCACTTACACTCTCAGTGGACTGTTGCCTGTCATAGCTGTTTTAATAATCATCTCAAGCATTTTGTCTGTTTTAAGATCTCTCTATCAGTTTTTTGAAATTGCAGCAATTGTAGCACAAGTTTTAAGTATCACCCTAGGTATCCTTTTTCTAGTTATCCTCAGACAACTCACCTTATTTTGCCTATTACTAAGTTCATTGAATTCTGTCTTTACTTCCATTTTTCTTTTCCTCTCCTTTTTAATTGTTACCTGTCTCATATCAGCCTCAGATTTTCTCGTCAGATTGTATGATTTTGATATATGCATCTATGTTTGTTTTGATATATACATGTATGTTTGTTTTGATATATGCATGTATGTATGAACCTAGAATTGTAGAATTGTTTACAGTTTTCTAATTTATATTTTAAACAGGCAATGAGGAGCAAGCTGAGGAAGATGGAAGTGAGTGGGAGCAAGTTTTACAGATGCTGACTGGCCACAAGGTGGTGCTCTCGGTTCGACAGGTGAAGACTGTGCGCTCGAAGGAGCAGAAGAAGAAGAAGAAGAGTAGCGCTCCTGACAAAACTTTAAAGTATCGGAGAATGTAAGATCAATATTCTTTGTTCTCCACCCCCTTCTCTCTCTCTCTCTCTCTCTTATCCCCCTACTTTCCCTCCCTCCTCTCTCTCCTCTCTCTCCTCTCTCTCCCTCTCCTCTCCCTCTACCTTTTGTCTCCCCATCTTCTCCTCCCCTCCCCCCTCTACCTTTTCTCCATCTCCTCCTCCCCTCCACATACTTCTTCCCTCTCCGCTCTCCTTGCCTCCAGCCTTCCCACTTCCCCAATATTTGTATTTGTAATGGGATGAGCAATTGGGGGAGTTAATCTCTATTGAAACAGAATGATTTCTTCCTATCTTCTTAGGAGACTCGATTTTTATTACTAAACCTAATCACTTTCTGCGTTCTTTAGGGTTTTGAGTGACGAGCTGCAGGTGGGAGATTTACAGGGGAAGAGTGATGATCAGTTGCAGAAGGTGCTGGAGAATTCACAGACTTTGCAGCCAGAGTTCATGAAGCAGAAAAAGGTGGCTCCTTATCACCTTACCAAATATCAAAAGAAGAAGCAGAGGATGGTAAGACATGCAGTGGTTTGCTTTTAATGTTTATCTTATGGGTTGTAAGTTGCCGGATATGTGTGCTTTTCTTTTTTACATGCAAAGAAAAAAGAAAAAAGATAACGTTTGTGTCTCTGTATTACTCTGAGAAGAAAGGAGAAGACCAAATCATCTTAATATCTCCTCCTTTATTAGAAAGGTATTAGTAAATAAAAACAAAACTTAATAGATAAAAAAAAAAAATAGACTAGATGTTCTTGATAAACTATTTCTTAATTTTTAAAGTTGTCACCATTCTTGACTTTCTAACGTATTCAGTTGGAAGATTGCAGAAGTTGTTCTGTTTAGAGGATACTAGCCATTGAGATTGATTTAAACCATGATTTCACAGATTGAGCGAGAGAAGACCAAGGGTGCTGGATGGTTTGACATGAAGGCTCCCGAGATGACAGAAGAAATCCAGCGGGATCTAGAGCTCCTCAAGATGCGTTCTGTCCTAGATCCGAAGAGGCATTATAAGAATAATGATATGAAGGTGAGTCCTAATGCATCTGTGTATTGTTTGAGGTTTCGTTCCATCTTTAGGTTGTTGGAAAGAATATGATCCCTGGTTTTACGCTATGTGAATATTATTTTTCACGTTTCTTCCTTTTACAGGTTTTGCCCAAGCATTTTCACCTTGGTACCGTTGTGGAGTCTCCTGTAGATTTCTATTCTTCTCGCATTCCAAAGAAAAGCCGGAAGAGGACGCTGGCAGAAGAGATCTTGAGTAATGAAGAAAGCCTAAGGTATGCCTTTTAACACTTTCAGATTATATTAGATTGCTCCAGTAAGCTTTCCTTGAGCAGAAATAAAAAAGGAATTTGAGGAATTAATGTATTATCTAATTCAATTCAATCTAACCTAGAGTTAAATAATGGGTTACTAGTAGCCAGTAATTTACAATCCAGGTAATTGTAATTTTGAGGAAGAGGCATTAATTTTCGTTTTTTTAAGAAAAATAACGGATACCTCTGTTTTCCTCTCTTTTATAGTAATACATGGTCTCAGTACAAAATTTTTTATATATATTATCCATAAAAAACACACACAGACACACACACGCACCCACCTTGTGAGATCAAACAGAGCTGGGTTTATTTGGAAACAAAGGAGATGATGGGTGTTGTAGAGTAATGGCTTGTAATAATAAACCTGGCAAAAGTTCTGTCAACCCCAAGCCGCCGGGCATGGCATGTATGTACATGCCATTGCCCATTGCGTGTGTTGAATTTAGTAATTGTTTTTACATATAGATGGCTCCACAAGTACTGACACCAATGAACCAATTTCACGAACTACCTGTCTAACCTGTTTATCCTTTTCCTTGATTTTCGATACTATTTTCTAATATTCAGTATTACTGTTAGTAATGTCAGCCACAATATAGTAATCATAATGTTTATAACAAAAATAACAATGTCAATATTGATAGCATAAGTAAGCCCGCTTTTTCAAGGAAAAGTGAGGTCGCAAGCTCTACTAATTGACTCCTTTGTGGCTAAGCATTGGCAGAGCCATCTATGTGTACAAACATTTAATCAAGCATTGCCAAAGGGAACGCATTATTTTACCGTCGACATTGGGTTAAAAGTCGATATAATAATTTAACTTGAGATACCCATAGTTCTTTTCATCCAATAATTCCAAATTAGCCCCTTGGATGCAGGTGCTTCACTGCCCACACATGGCCCAAAAGACGGATATTAGGCTTCATGTGGCTTCTTTGACAAGTGTGTGGCTTGTAGGCTGGGTGCACACAAATCCTGGTGACAAAGCTCCATGCATCCCCTTTGCAATGTTATTCTCTCTTTTTCTGCATGATCATTTTTAGCTTTTTTGCCATTTTTCAATGTGTAATTGTCATTTGACTTGCTTTCTCCAGACTGTAATAGACTTGCTTACCTTGCACAGACTTCATATCATCTCTCTAGGTAGTCCATAACTCAGTACAATAATAATAGCAATAAATACCATTTTGTGTTTTTGTGAATTGCAAGAGCCACTTCCTAATTGCCCACCAAGTCTAATCACCCTTCAAGAGCTTTGTGCACTTCTTTCACTCTAGCCTTCAGTTATTATACAAGTTGGCACCACACCGGCCCTCAGCCAAATTTTTCCATGATGACATGTTGAGGTCACCCACCCCCAAGCCAATTTTTTTTTTTTTTTCATTTCTGGATCATAGGGGGTTAGCTGATGATTACATTGATGTACCATTCGGCTTGCTTCTCTCTATAGTGAGAATTGTGGGGACTAAGAGATTTAACCACAAACAACTTGTCTGTCTGAGTTACCTAGTTTTCTGTCAGAATTTGATAAGCAGTTCAGAACACAGCATATGTACCATATGTGGGCTATTAATACTCACATTCTGTAGTCTATGTAGTATGTGTATGAGGGATTCACATCCATAGTAGAGAAAACAAATGAAGTAAAACTAGTTCTCAGCATGGAAAACTATCTTACAAGGCAGAAAATAATGTATGTTAGTATAAATAACTGTTTGATCCAGATAGCATCTTTATCTTACACATATTATTTTCTGCCTTGTTTGTATAAATGCTATCTTACAAGGCAGAAAATAATGTATGTTAGTATAAATAACTGTTTGATCCAGATAGCATCTGTTCATGGATGACTTTGTCTCCTCCAGCTTTTAAGCTCATAAAAGTTAACAGTAATAATTAATAGTAGAAATGGTAGTAATAAAAGTAGTAATAGTTAGTAATAGTAAGAGGGCAAATAGTCTCATTGGCAAAGAAAGTATTCCAACTTTTCATCTTTTTTTTACAGGTTCCAGAAACGAAAGTATGAAGAAATAATGGTTGGAAAGCAGAGACAACGGAAACGCCCCAACAGTGAGAATACCAGAGACATGTATAAAGGCATAAAGAGAGATAAGAAAAGGCACCAGAAAAGGAAATGATATCTAAGGGCTATGTATGAAAATATTAGCAATATTTTATGAATAAAATAAATAATGACATGAAAATTGTGTATCCTTGTTACACACGAGACTGTAATGAAGCTTATACTTTTAATAAATTGTTTGATTTGAATTATTTTTGTTTTTTCTTGCATTATTGACTGGAGTTCAACAATTTTCATCTGCCCATTGTTGTCGTATGTGAGCTTAGGAGATGGAGACTGGGACCCAACGCTGGGGATCACTCCCTGACACGGATCTCAGCCCTCGCCTCAACTAATTTTGCATGTTTTTTTTCTTCTTACCCTTTCCTTTGCCTTCTTTTCATCCTCTTCTTCAGTCCACTTCCTAAGGTGTGAGAGCCGTGTTGAAAAGATGAAAGGCTGGCTTTGTGTCAGTCTTGAATGGCCTTTAGTACTCTGCTATTTCCTCGTTACTCTTTTCGGTACCATTCTAACCTACAATGCTCTACAACCTTTGACATGTAACATATTTTGTCCTAATTGTTAATTCATTTTTTACCTTTTTCCCACAATACTTTATCATAATGCTATGTGACCGTTTCTTACCTGGAGCTTCGCCCCCAAACCTTGCTCTATTGTCGTAATTTGTGTGTTGCTAATGACCTTAGACGTTGACATGGCAGGAAAATTTTCAATAAATAAATTCACAACTTTCAAATCTTTCTGTACATCTGAGGAAATTTGGTACCATTCATTTTGATGTTTCTGTGAACAGCTGGCAAAATACTTAAGCAATTTTAGAGGATACAAAAAAAAAAACATTCGAAGTGAGTAGTATATTTTATAAAACCTAATTATATCACACCAAATGTACTAAACTTAAAAGGTACTAGAAAAATATCGCAATGAATAAAAATGACCTCTCAGACTGATTTCCTGAATGGGCAGTTTCTTGAAGGTGGTTTATTATATTCTGTTAAACAATTTCCTGTCGTAGGCAACATTATAGATTCATTTATTTGTTTGTTTACTTATTTTATTTCATTTTTTTCATTTCTTTCCTTTTTAATTGAACTTCAGGAATGAATTAATTTCAAGTGGAATCTTATAATCTTTTGGTATTTATTCACAGAGACTTCAGTGTAGATATCAAAGTAAAAATATGTATCACCTGCCCATTACCCAGTTCATGCCCAATTACTCTGTGGACAAGCTGTTTAAAAAAAAAAGAAGGGGAGGAGGACTCTTTGAAATAACTGGCAGCGGAAAACTTCCGAATGGCACCGCAGTAGAGGAAGATTCTATGAAATAGTAGCCAGCTGAGAGTTTCTTTGCAGATCAGTCCGAGGCCTCTCCTCATTGGATGAATTGCTGCCTATTACATTTTTCCATTTATGTGATATAAAAGTAGAAGACTGAATCAAAAGTCTGAAAAGGTAAGGTTGTGATCGAACCTGTGCAGTCCCTGGAATCTTTGTGCGGTCTTCTGGTTGACTGTGTAGTTCCTGTTTACATAATTTCGGGGAGGTTTCAGTGGCTTCTTTTCGTTCCTCTTGTGTGTGAGGACTGCTTATTGTAAAGGAAGATCTTGACCCGTCAGGAAGATTTTTCAGAAGTTCCATGACCTCCAAGAGTTGTGGCATTTGAGGTTTGATATTATCCATTTCTTCTTGCAGTGCTTGGGGGGAGAAAAATTATATTTAGAGAGCAATGCCAAATCAATGAAGATCTTTCTTACAATTTTGCTTTAACTTCAGATTTCTGTAATTTCTTCAACTTTACCTGAAACGGTAGAGGAGAGGGAACCTGGCGGAGAGCTATCCCCCTCGTAGGCATAAGCTCGAAGGTCATCAGAAGGTAAAAATGGCCCTGGAATGCCGGGGACAACCACTTGCCTCCCTTCCTCTGCAATATGATCCATGCAGGACCTGGTACAGACAGGTATTGCCTCGAAAGAAGGGTCAGTTTCAAAGTCTGCAAGTTTGAGAAATTATTTATATTTTATAGGCAAGCATTACCTATAAAAGAATTGCAATCTTATATTTGTGTATCTGAATATATAATGTTTCAAAGTAAAACTTAAGGGGTTGGCCCACTCGTATTTATTTCATTATACCATACAATCTGATGCAGTAACATACATCTCCCAAATGCATATTGGAAAGAGGTTGATTCCTATATATTTTTCCAAAATGGTTATGTAAAGATTTAAAAATTGTTTTTGATGTTATTTCACATACTATTACTTTAATTCAAATTGTGGTAAATTTTCTTGTTCCATTGCTTTCAAATAAGATGTGCCAGGTCCTCCCTCACCTTCACTCTGCCACACAGCGGGGTCTGCACCTGTAATCCTACACTCGAAGTCCTTCAGAAAGGGTCCCTGAGGCCCGTCCTTTCTGATGTTGCGCTCCCCCCCGCCCTCCGTGACCCCTCCCTTGGCCTCTCGCCCCGTGGCCTGCTCCTCCGTGCCCTTCCCCCCCCTAGGGCCCCCTCTGCAGAAATGCCGCGCCAGGTGTCGGGAGAGCACTGTAAGCAGCAGAACTGGAAGAATGAATGACGAATGATTAGTGAAAACTCGAAGAAGAAAATAAGATATGGTAACTGTATGACGAGGACTTTCAAGGAAAATCATCAACTTCAGTAGAAATTGGGGCTGACCCATTAGCAAAATAGCGACGGAGAAAGCAGTGATGGTGCCTGGGCTGCCGAGGGGTCCTGTGTTTGGGCCTGAGTGTGGCCACTGGCAGTGGTCCCCCGCATGGCTTGGGCCACACACGCATTTGTGGCCAGACTGCAGGTTGTAGCAGGTACCCCCATGAAGGCAGGGTTGCCATGCACACTCGTCAACGTCCTCGCATGCGTGCCCGACCTGGATACGGCCTGGACCACAGCTTCCGGAAATAAGACACATTTTATGACCTAAAAGTTAGTGCTCAAGACTCAACTGGAAATTATTTATCGGAAATTCTATTCATATAATAAATAGGCAACTTACAATTGGTTTCAGCAGCGTCTTCTCTGACGCTGCATTGCGGCTACTTTTGCGACACTAATAAAGATGATAAAAATTACTGTGATCAAGACGGATAACCTAGAACCTTTCGCATCGCTCTGACCGACCTGCAAGAAGGCTGTCGACCCCAGGGGGAAGTGCAGGTCAGCGGAGGTTCACAGGTGAAGTTGAGACATCCAGCCGGGTTGCCAGCGCAGCCGAGAGTCAAGTGGCGGGAAGAGGTCACCTGACCCCACCGGCTTCCGTTGACCGCCGGCGGGAGAGGCAGCGCCCGCCCTGAGATCCGCAGATCGTCGATGCAGCCTGGAAACACGGGAAGGATCAGGGGTATGAACGAGAGGGATGGAGGACGCAAAAGGAAAGACAGGGATAGGGGGAGCTTTTACTTTCATTGAGGTCGTGGTGCACGCGCACGAGTCGCCCTGCCTCAAACTCCGGCCAGCCGCCGACGGTGACCCCGTCGTGCTTATCCACGTGGATGAAGGGCGGCAGAACGGGATGCGTGGGGCCTTTCCGACCGCCCTCTCCCCCTCTGCTCGGCCCCCCTTCCTGCGCGGGCGTCCCAGGAGAGCAGAGCGAAGGAGTCCAGCGAGTGGTTCGTGAGGCTCCCGCCGTCACCGCCGTCGACGCGCAGGAGGAGGTTGTGGGCGCGACGCTCGGCCGCGAGGGTGTGCCACTCGCCGTCCCCGAGCGGGCGGCCCTCCACGCACACCTCCTGCGCCGCCCACCCCGCGCCCGACACGGAGGCGCAGGCGACGCCCGAGCGCAGCTAAGGGAGGGGGGGCGGGCGGCGTCGGGCGAAGGAAAAGGACGTGAATTAGGGATGAAGAACCGATTTGGAAATGCTCTTTGATAGGAGCACAAAGCCCGATGTCTACAGGCGGAAAATAAACAGATCTGTGCATATGTTACTGTACTATGCTTTACCGAACATGTTTATTTATGTACATACATCTATAAGCGCCACGTACATATGCACTGTACATACATGTATACATACACGAAGTGTACATTGTATATTGCTTCATACTCGCTCTTTACTCTCTTTCTTCTCTCTCTCTTGCACACACACACACACCACACACACACACACACACACTCACACACACACCACACACACACACAACACACACACACACATAACTACCCTCCACGCCACAGTTCGTTACCGCAGAACACGCAGCTAATATTCTTGTTCGACAAATAGCAATTCTAACGGATTCCCGCACAGTATTGCAGTGCAGTTGCAACATGATCGTTAATTAGGGACTGGAAGCTTTTAAGGGCGTTCTTTATTTCAGGTTGTGAAAGGTTATATGTCATGTAAACGCCCCAACACCAGCCTGATAGCACTCATGCCTCTGCACACGCCCATCTATGCTCACCTGCAGAGTGAGGGCGGCCGGCGGGCGGTGGGCGGCCAGGCGCACCAGCAGCCCGTCCCGCGCGCCCCGGGTCCTCACGCGCACTTGGACGGAGAGAGCCGTGGGCGTGGGCGCGAAGGAGAGCGCCACCTTCATGTACGACGAGGAACCGAGGGCGGAGGGGACTGTGGGCGTCGCGCATCGGTGCCCGCCCCACCCGGCCTCACACTCGCACCTTGACTCCTTCAGCCCGCCCACGCACAGCCCACGGAGGCCGCACCCGCCCGCACACGCCTGCTCTTGCTGTCTGCACCCGCCCACGGTGGCATGGGCGTTGGGCGGCTGCCCTAGGTCCTGCACCTGCAACAGCACTGGGGGACCGTCACTCCGGAGCTGTGTATTAGGTGTGGTTATCTCTCAGTCCGCTTAAACATATATAAAGTGTTTATAAAGATAGATAGGTAATATATGTACATATGGTATATATCAACATAAAACATGTTTTTCAGCAAAAGACACTGAATGTAATTTATACCACTGGGTAGTAACACAAGTCTCCCATAAGAACGAGAGCAGGCGCGGGCCGGCGCCCGAGGCCCGCCCGCGAGAGCGTGGGCGCGGAGGCGACTCACCTGACCGTTGACGGTGACGTGCGAGACGCAGCCCTCGAGCGGGTCGCCCTTGGCCGCGTAGAGCCAGCCGTGGTCCTGCGGCAGGGGCGGCGGGTGCGCCAGGCCGCCCACCTGCAGAGGTCCCGACGGCACCCACTCTCCCGCCTCTCCTTCGCGGTGGGTCCAGGCCGCCCGCGCCAGGCACTGGTGGGCCGCGTCTGGCTCATCCCAGCTCCGCCCGCAAAGGTCCAGCATCACGCCCACGCCCTGTGCATCGAGGGAGAAGAAAATATCAGGGAAAGGAGTAGTACAAGACGCGAAGAGGCGGAATTTCACAGAAATATCACAGCTGCCGCCGCCGAGCCTTCCAGCGGCGGCAGCGGCCCACCTTGCGGTCCATGTGCACGTGCACGTCGTGCCAGGCGCCGTCGTGCAGCGTCGCGTTGAGCTCCGCCTTCGCCCGCCCCCCGCGCCCCCCTCCACCACCACCTGCAGCCGCCCTCCGCCGCCCACCACCTGCACGGCCAGCATTGACGTGGGCGGGGCGCTGGGGCCCCTGGGCGTGGGCGCGAGGGGCCCGGAGTAGAGAATGAGCGCGTCTCTCGGGCGCGGGCGGGCGAGCAGCAGGCGCAGGGAGAGAGTGAGGGGCGTGCAGGGGGGGAGAGGGGGAGCCACGCCCACCCGGAGCCCGCGAAGGCGCGCGAGAACACCTTGCAGTGCGGGCCTCTCGTCCCCGCCGGGCACACGCACCTGCAACGCACGGCCTCCGAGGTAACGCCAAACCCCTCGCAACGACAGCCTCCTTATAAAGCCTTAACTATCTGTCATTCATGTCGCATTCGCTCGACTCCAAACAAATCCCTTGGCATTACCTATCGCCGTCGTGGAACCTGACGCAACGCCCACCGTTCAAGCACGAGGTGGGCGTGCATCCGAGCAGACCTGGAGAACGGGAATGGGCGTGGGCGGCGTGGCACGGATGCGGGCGGGCGAGTCTGGGTGTCACGAGAGAAGTCACGTTCGTATCCACAACCTGTCAAAGATAGAAGCCTTTATTATTATCATCATCATTATTATTATTATTACTATTATTATCAACGATTTCCAAGTATCTATTATACGGTAGAATTCATGTGCTTTATTGTTGAACTCCCCTTTGTCCTTGTCACTAACGGTCATATGCTAAAAGAAATCGTGGAATTCACTCTTCGAAGCAAAAAATACCGCAAAAAAAAAAAACGAACTAGGGCAAGAGAACAAGAACATGGTATTTTTTAAACTGACAGTCCTAAAGTTACGTTAAGAACAGTCGTGAAGAAGCTAGCATAAGAGAATTGTTACAATCGTGAAGAACCTAGCACAAGAAACCGTGCAAGAACTGATTTGCGTTGCACAATTTCCCTAAGCGTACGGTCTCTGTCCACTCACTTGCAAGGGCTGCGACGTGGAGGCCAGAGAGGGCGCGGAGTGGAGGGGGTCGCTCTCCTCGGGATCTCGGCCTCGAGTTTCCCCCAGCAGGTTCACCCTCAGCCCGGTGGCCTCCTCGAGCTTGGGGTTGGAGGAGGGGGGGAGGAGAGAGAGCGAGGGGAGAGAGAGGGAGGCAAGGGGGCGAGAGGGGAGAGAGAGGGGAGGAGGGGGAGAGGGAGAGAGAAGAGAAGAGGAAGGGGAGAGAGGGGAGGGAGAGAGAGGGAGGGGGGAGAAGAGAGGGGAGGAGAGGGGAAGGAGAGAGGGAGAGAGAGGACGGGGGGGGAGGGGAGGGGGGGAGGGAGAGACAGAGAGAGGAGAAGAGAGGGAGTGGGTGGGGGGGGGGGCAAAGGATTCGGTGAAACAGATTTCTTTACAGTTGGCGGCGATGTAGTAATTTGACCAGTTTTGTCTATTTCATTTTTATGAGGATTGGCAAATGTGTCAAAAGGCGAGTGAGATCTTGTGGTGGTTCATTTTCATTTAGTTTTAGAAGAATGGAGCCAAGCATAAGCGTTTAGAATAAAAACAAAAAATAAAACTCAAAATATAAATAAAAAGGAGAAAAAACAAAGACAACATGCATTCCAGAAACGAAATGATTACGGACAGACAGATCGTGTTTGTACCGACACGGAACTGAGAAGCAAGCCACTGGCCGTGTGAGAGATGCACTTTCTTTCTGGCTGAACTAATCTAATAAACCTGGCAGCAGGAAACATCTGCGCTTTCTGGGCCCGGGAGTGGAATCAAATACTTTAAAACGTGACAGGAAGCAAATAAATGAATGTTGACTATGTGTTGTTGTTGGTTGCTGACATGTATGAAAGTTCTTGTAACATTTAAGGGCCTGTAACCGCACTGCAGTCTCACAAAGCACCACATACTTTATAAAAACCATCTATATGCCAAGGACCACCCGCGGCGCCCCAGGAAAGGAATCTAGAGTCGAGAACCCAAACACACTTTGGCCGCACACCTGGCGAGCGCGCAGCCCCAGCAGCCCCTGCAGCTTGACGGGGTCCATGAAGCCCCCGCGCGCGCCCTCCTCCCGCACGCTCACCCACACGCACGTCGCGCCCGCTCGTGTCTGCGGCGTGCTCGTGCGCCGTCGTCGAGTTGGGTGGGCGTGAGAGGTCGCCGCGGTGGGCGTACACGCTGACCACCTCGACGGAGTGGGTGGCGCCGCCCACGACCCCCAGCACCGCGCGGGTCAGGTTCCCCAGGCCGCCTCCTCCGCGCTACGGGTGGGCGGCTCGTCAACGCGGGTCTTCCTCAAAGCCGTCACATATAAGCAGTATATCCACGAGTATATTCACCGCCCCCGTGAGTATATCCGCCCTCTATCTCTAAATCTAACCTTAACACGCTGAGCACAGTACAGACCTCGGGCGCCCATCCCTTGGCGAGGTCCGCCGGCGTCATGGGCGTGAGGCTGATGGGCGTGGCGTTCTCCAGGGCGTCCGGGGCGAGCGCGCGCACCCGCACCGTCACGTTGGCCGCCACGCCGCGCTGCGCCCACGCCGCGAGTCGCTCACGGAGAAGGCCAGGTCGTACCTGCGGGGGGCCGGGGGGGGGGGGGGGTCTTAGGAATGCAGGGGCTTTTTTATTATCGCTCTCTCTCTCGCTCTCTCTCTGTCTGTTTGTCTCTTATTCTCTTTCGCTCTCTCATTCACTCACTCTTTCTCTCACACTCTCACACTGTTTCACTCACTTTCTCTCTTCCATTCAACATTCAAGAATTTCATTCACCCACTCCACTCACTTTCTTTTCTTCTCTCTCTCTCTCTCTTCTCTCTTCTCTCTCCTCTCTCT